GTATTACCGCTTTAAAATGATTCTATGTAGTTCCCGTCACTGCAGAATATGCATTGGTTACCCAGTAATTAGTCATATCAGTTTGAATGGGTTCCTGAATTTGGCCGTGGAGATCCAGAGGGGGCTGAGCCTCCAGGACCGAAAAGAGGGCGTATGACCTAGCTGCAATTCCACCTGTAGCATACAGTGATCTGATATTGGTTGGGGAACATGTGAAATTGATTGCAACCAGGGTAGCATGTCAGGGGACACCAGAAGGTTGGTGACATGGAAGACTGACAGAAATACACCCTAACCTTGGGAAATCTCCATCGCCAAAGATCTACATAGTGAGTCACACCATTGCTGAAACAATTTTGACTCAGAGGAGAGAGGCTTCAACCAGTCCAAAGCTGGATCCAACACCAAATTGAAGTCTCCCATAATAATAGTAGCAAAACTAGATAATGTAGATAAGTGTACACTCAATTCGGTAAAGACTGCAGCCATAACCAGGGGGGAACATAGACCCCCTGCAAAATTAGTGATATACCATGAACTGTGCAAACTGTAATGACATATTGGCCCTTAGGGTCAACAATCATCTTATCACAAGAAAATGGGAGACCTTTGCAAATTATTAAAGATACTATACGGGCAACATTAGAATATGTAGAATGCCCATGTAAAACCCAGCGTTTCTTAAGTGCAAGAATGTTTGATCTTGGTAAATGGGTCTCCTGCAAACATAACACATGGGAATTGTGAGATTTAAGGAGCTCAAAAGCAGAGGCTTTTTCAAATTTGGAATTTAGTTCAGGAACATTCCAGGACAAGAACAACAGAGTGGACATTTGGTTAAGTTACAGTTATTGCAGATAGAGGGGCTTCAGGGCTCAGGGGGCCATCCACAGGCCCCATCATGGCTGCAGTATGAGAGGGAAGAAAGCGTATGTAAAACCCTGCTAGTTAGCTAGGGGGAGCTCTAGCTTTGTTAGATAGAGGCAGAGTAGCAGCCTGGGTGTAATAGCCAGGTGGTCAAATTGCGGTCAGAGCTGAGAGGCTCTGCAGACCAGCTCTCTGGGATTTTTCCTGCTCTAGAACTTTGGAGAAAGATCTAGAAGCAGTGGGCGGAGGTGAGGAGTGGCTGGTCTGTACTCTTAGAGGATCCTGGCCAATCCTCAACAGGAGGCTTGGCAAAGGGACCAGGAGAGCCTTTAAGAGTAACTGAGCCTGCTTGGGACTTCACTGGCTTCCTGAGAGAGGACCACCTATGTGGCAGGGAAGGAGCAGCCCAGCTAGTAGGCCTGGTAGCAGCCACCGGTCCACCAGAAATACAGGAGAACTGAGTAAACCTGCACCCCCTGGGCCAGATAGGGGAAGGATCACTCTGGTGGGAAATTAGATTAGTGACTACCTGGGACTGTCTTATTTTGAAGTGACAGGCACTAGATTCCCTGTTCAGAGAGTCCTCCAGGCAGCCAGATAGAGGAGTATCTGGGGTCTGGGATGGTACATCCGGAGAGCCTGGCTAGCCCTCAAAGAAGATAATTTTGCTGTAAAAAACTTGTATATAGTTCCAGGAAGTTGTCCTCAGTTTTGCAGTTCCATTGGGCATCCCGTGCACCCTTAACACTATCCCAGTTCAAATCCCCTAATAAAACTTTAAAACAAAGGCTCCATCCCGTCTTCTGCACCATTCTCACTGGGGGAGGTCTGGGAGAGCAGCGTCAGTGGGACCAAGGCGGCTGGTGAGGGCAGTGGGGAGGCATCTGGTGCTTCCCCAAACAGATCTGGAGTTGAGGCTGGGGAAGAACGTGGTGATGTGAAGCAGCGACCATTTTGGCATGAGCAGGTAGTAATGATCATCTTGGCTGGAGGCTGCTTGCAATGTCTGCCCATCCACCAAACTGCTGGTCATGGATGTGGTGCTGTTTGGAGGAGAGAGAATGCTGAGTTGCATCCAAAGAACACCATACCTACTGTGAAGCATGGGGGTGGCAACATCATGCTTTGGGGTTGTTTCTCCGCAAAGGGACCAGGACGACTGATTTATGTACATGACAGAGATTTTGAGTGCAAACCTCCTTCCATCAGCAAGGGCATTGAAGATGAAACGTGGCTGGGTCTTCCAATATGACAATGATCCCAAACATACCGCCCGGGCAACGAAGGAGTGGCTTCGTAAGAAGCATTTCAAGGTCCTGGAGTGGCCTAGCCAGTCTCCAGATCTCAACCCCATAGAAAACCTTTGGAGGGAGTTGAAAGTCCGTGTTGCCCAGCGACAGCCCCAAAACATCACTGCTCTAGAGGAGATCTGCATGGAGGAATGGGCCAACATACCAGCAACTGTGTGTGCCAACCTTGTGAAGACTTACAGGAAACGTTTGACCTCTGTCATTGCCAACAAAGGATATATAACAAAGTATTGAGATGAACTTTTGATATTGACCAAATACTTATTTTCCACCATAATTTGCAAATAAATTCTTTCCAAATCAGCCAATGTGATTGCCTGGATTTTTTTTTCTCATTTTGTCTCTCATAGTTGAGGTCTACCTATGATGCCAATTACAGGCCTCTCTCATCTTTTTAAGTGGGAGAACTTGCACAATTGGTGGCTGACTAAATACTTTTTTGCCCCACTGTACATCTCTTGGGAATGCCAGTCTATGGTCCACATGAAAATGGCGCCTGCGATCTTCGTGCATGCGCACTCTGGTGTGGATCGTCGACCATGACCTTATACCCATATTCACATTTATTTGTGAAATCAAGTTTACAGATATCATATCAAGCTTATATTACTTAGTTTCCTAACGTTTCACATTCTCACTCCTATGTGGAGATTAGGCTGTTGGCTCTTTCCTTGTTGTTATGATCCACGAAAAAAATGACGCCCGCGGTCCCGCGCATTGAGCGTGGATCATGAGCAAAATGGTACCTGCTTAATTGGCACGAGCGCCCATTTTCTATAAATAGATTCACATTGACGTCAGGCTGCTATGGCACACCCCTTTTGATAATGTACTTCTTGTACGAAACACGCTAAGGAGGATCCCTGCACGCCATGACGTCACGCCGCTGGATCACAGAGGTCCAGCGGCCATCTTTGAACCCAGCTACTTAGTGCACAGAGCAGCTTTATTCTGCATGTACCTGTATGTTTTTGAGGATTACATTGTCATTAATGCCAAATCCTTTGCCCATGGGAATTATCTACTAATGTGTGTTCATTTTTAATTTATTTTACAAATATATATATTAACAAATTAATTTTATGAGAAATACTACACTGTGGGCACCATTTTTTGCTCCACACCAAGCACTTAATCCCCCAGGATCCCCAGGTGATCATCTCAAGGCCCAGAGGAGAGAAATCTAAAGCAAACCCCCCACCGCAGCTAACCATTAAAGGGGATCTCTAGAAGTAATATTCCATCGCCCATATCGACGGAAGAGGTATCCACTCCAGTCTGCATCCTTTCCAGGACAGAGGGGTCCTTTTTCTTATCTGATATAAATGCTCATTATTATTGCGCCTCTGGTGAGTGTGCAATTTTACCATTTTCCCTGCACATTACCGGATCACGTGTGTCACTGAGAGAAGTGAAGACACTCAACCAACTAATTGTTATTCCTGCACCAACATCACTTCCAGCACTTATATTGGACATTTATTGATGCATTTGGCTGTTTACCTATAGTGTATGGTTGTGGGGACACATATCAATTACCGTATTTTTCGCTCCATAAGACGCACTTTTTTCTCCTCAAAAAAAGGGGGGGAAATGTCAGTGTATCTTATGGAGCGAATATAAAGCGGCCTGTCCAGTAATTCTGCCACCACCATGTCAGAATACCAGGCCGGCCGCTCAGCTGTTCTCTGCGGCAGGAACTCACCTGTTCCTTGGTCCAGCGCTGTAGTCTTCCCGCGCCGGCTTCTTCCCACCCCGGCATCTGTGACAGCCGGGTGCCCACTGCGCATGCGCAAGAAGCACTGCACTTTGTGAATGGTCCGGCATCTTCTGGGACACATGACAGGTCCCAGGAGACGACAGGGCCATTCACAAAGCGCAGCGCTTCTCACGCATGTGCAGTGGGCACCTGGCTGTCAAAGTATAGGAAGGAGAGCTCCGTGGAAGTGTCAAATTCAGGTACCTGCTCCCCCTCCCTCCCAAAAGGTCCGCAGTGTCTGGTCTTGCCCTGTACTGTCCGCAGTCTCTGGTCATCCCCTGTTCTGTCCGCAGTCTCTGGTCATCTGTACTGTCTGCAGTCTCTGGTCATCCCCTGTACTGTCCGCAGTCTCTGGTCATCTGTACTGTCCGCAGTCTCTGGTCATCCCCTGTACTGTCCGCAGTCTCTGGTCATCTCCTGTACTGTGTCTGCAGTCTCTGGTCATCTCCTGTACTGTGTCTGCAGTCTCTGGTCATCTCCTGTACCGTGTCCGCAGTCTCTGGTCATCTCCTGTACCGTGTCCGCAGTCTCTGGTCATCCCCTGTACTGTGTCCGCAGTCTCTGGTCATCTCCTGTACTATGTCTACAGTCTCTGGTCATCTCCTGTACTGTGTCTGCAGTCTCTGGTCATCTCCTGTACTGTGTCTGCAGTCTCTGGTCATCTCTTGTACTGTCTGCAGTCTCTGGTCATCTCCTGTACTGTGTCCGCAGTCTCTGGTCATCTCTTGTACTGTCTGCAGTCTCTGGTCATCTCCTGTACTATGTCCGCAGTCTCTGGTCATCTCCTGTACTGTGTCCGCAGTCTCTGGTCATCCCCTGTACTGTGTCCGCAGTCTCTGGTCATCTCCTGTACTGTGTCCGCAGTCTCTGGTCATCTCCTGTACTGTGTCTGCAGTCTCTGGTCATCTCCTGTACTGTGTCTGCAGTCTCTGGTCATCTCTTGTACTGTCTGCAGTCTCTCTGGTCATCTCCTGTACTGTGTCCGCAGTCTCTGGTCATCTCCTGTACTGTGTCCGCAGTCTCTGGTCATCCCCTGTACTGTGTCCGCAGTCTCTGGTCATCTCCTGTACTGTGTCCGCAGTCTCTGGTCATCTCCTGTACTGTGTCTGCAGTCTCTGGTCATCTCCTGTACTGTGTCTGCAGTCTCTGGTCATCTCTTGTACTGTCTGCAGTCTCTGGTCATCTCCTGTACTGTGTCCGCAGTCTCTGGTCATCTCCTGTACTGTGTCCGCAGTCTCTGGTCATCCCCTGTACTGTGTCCGCAGTCTCTGGTCATCTCCTGTACTGTGTCCGCAGTCTCTGGTCATCTCCTGTACTGTGTCTGCAGTCTCTGGTCATCTCCTGTACTGTGTCTGCAGTCTCTGGTCATCTCTTGTACTGTCTGCAGTCTCTGGTCATCTCCTGTACTGTGTCCGCAGTCTCTGGTCATCTCCTGTAGTAAGTCCGCAGTCTCTGGTCATCCCCTGTACTGTGTCCGCAGTCTCTGGTCATCTCCTGTACTGTGTCCGCAGTCTCTGATCATCCCCTGTACTGTGTCCGCAGTCTCTGGTCATCTCCTGTACCGTGTCCGCAGTCTCTGGTCATCTCCTGTACTGTGTCCGCAGTCTCTGGTCATCCCCTGTACTGTGTCCGCAGTCTCTGGTCATCTCCTGTACTGTGTCCGCAGTGTCTGGTCACTTCCTGTACTATGTCTACAGTCCATTGGTTCAGAATATTTTTTTTCTTGTTTTTCGTCTCTAAAAGCTAGGTGCGTCTTATGGTCAGGTGCGTCTTATGAAGTGAAAAATACGGTATTTCCCATTTGATACGGACATTATATAGATATTTATGTCACTATCCTGTTATGGTATGCTTTGCCAGCAATTTACCGTGAATTCTAACTTCAGGCATTTGCATCCTATATATTTTTAGATTTTATATAGTGCTGCACTACACATTTTATGTATACATTTTTTATGGTTTATCGTCTATTCTTAATGTGTATTTACATTTTAGATATCTGGGTCATATTTTATTCTACCGTTTAGCGCTACACTACAAGTTTTATGTTCATTTTTATAAGGTTATTGGTTTCCTTTTTAGTGTTCTAGCTGCTTTTCACCTTGAAGCAGGGGCGGACTGACAACTCATGGGGCCCCTGGGCAATAGGGGATCATGGGGCCCCTGTGTCCTTGCCCAAACTCAAAAAAGCCTATGAAAAAGGTACCAGGGGCATCTCATGGGGCCCCCTACTGACTTCGGGCCCTCGGGCAGTGCCCAAGTTTCCAAATGGTCAGTCCGCCCCTGCCCTGAAGCGCTCGCTGAACCCCACTTTTTACATTGAGTCATGGTACCTTGCTCACTTTGGTTTTACTCTTAAGCTCAAAAAGGATGCTCCCTATGCTTTCTAGCTCCTTCTTCTGCATTTCCCATTAAATAGATTAAAAGATCAACAGTGAAAATAGGAACCCCTTTTTTATGACTTGTGTGTAAGTTTAGAAACTCAATTACAGAGATATAATTAATCTCTCCAGCTTCTGTGAAAAACTGAAATATCAACTTTTGGAGGAATACATGTCCATGCAGGGTAAAGCAACCATTCTACTTTAGTGTCCTCCTCCCCAGCAGCATATACTCACCTTTTGTCAGGAATGGACTTGCCAGTGGTGGTGGGACTCACCTGCCTTGTGGGCTGCAGTACCAGGGTTGGCCAGTGGGTGCTCTCAGCAACCAGAGGCTCACTCCTGCAATGAGCCATCACCTGAGGCTGATTACAGCAGGTGTATTTAAGGAATGGCCAGGCCTGTGTTCAGGTCCTTAGTGTATGTTTCCCATGAGACCCTGTACCTGCTTCCTGCCTGATCCTGTTTCTGCTTTAATCCTGATTCTGCATGAATTCTGCCTGTCCTGACCTCGGCTATTCCTGACTAAGCTTCCTCCTGCTCCTTGTACCTTGCCTGCCCGTTTGCTACCGACCTGGCCTGCCCAACTACGTTTAGTATTGTTCTTATTGTTATCTGTTGGAGGTTTGGTTGCACTGTGTTTATGTTTAGTCTTGCACTGCATTTATGTATTGTTTAGTCTTTAATAAATTGTATTGTTTATACTATACCTGGAGCCTGTGTTTCCCTGTGTCAGTCCACACATTTCTGGTCACGCCCGGATCCCTAACACCTTTCCTTTTCTCCTATCTCCTTTTAACCATCAGGAGCAAAGCAAAAACATAGGCTGGACTTGACCAGTGCTATTACACATGCAGAAAGACAATCCTTAGCCTTGTGTAAGCTAAGGAGACCCAGAGCTTACACACGGCTTCTTTTCAGTGCTGGGACAAAGTTCTCTAGCAACCAAGGTGAAGATTTCAGTGTGAACCCTCAGCTGAGGTGGACAGGGCTTGGGAATCTTTATATATAGTGGCCACCCTGGTGCAGGGTGTAGAAATTGAGCCCGCTGTCTGCCATACCCACTTTGGTCCATTTGTCAAAATAGGATTTGGAGGGGGCGAAGTTTCGGGGTAGTTAAAATAGCGTGATTTGGTTATTTTGAGCATGGTAAACCAGCCATGTTTTCATTAACATACAAAAATTGTCTCTTCCATCTGAAAATTAAAGTAGCTTATAACGCATCAAAAGTGTATGTCCCTTTTCTAAAGGCAATACAATTGTGTTTTTAGTACAAAAGCATTTTCATTTTAAATAGTTTTTATTAAGTTTTAATAGGCATTTCCACCATTTGCTTACTTCCACAAATTTTGCAACCAATTTTGAATCTAAAGAGTTAATAAACAAGTTAATAACAAATGTATTTTTCCATGTAAAAATAACAAAACACAAAATATAAAATTTCCAGAAATGGTAAAAAAAGAAGGAAAGAAGACGACAAGGGAATAAATAAAAACGAAAAAAGTGTTTTGGTTGGAGTTCAGAATTTTATGCCGACAAAACAGGGTTGTAGCTAAAAATATGTAGGAAGCTGGAGCATGAAAAACTCTTAGTCATGTGAAAGTGCTGGCTTATCTTGACAGTAGACAGCGCCACCCACTCCGTTAAACAAAAACTCAAACTATCAATGTCCAGGATGTTTTTTTTTTCCCTATGAGCATCAACCTGATAAAAGTCTTAGCACAAACGTTGTAGGTTATTTTTTGTTGCTTTTTTTTCTTAAATGGAATATAGAAACCAGCTTATACAGTATTTGAACACAATAACAAAAAAGGACTATATTGCAGCTTACCAGCCCTGTGGTGTCTGCAGTCATTTTATTTTTTTTTCTTGTTTTTTTGTAATTGTGTTTTGTGATACAACAAAGTTATTAAAGCAGTATTAAACCACAAAGCAAACCTGTATTATATTGTAGCTTATCAATTCTTAGATATGATGGCTGTATTAGTTTCCTGTTTTTAGGCTTTTCTTTCTTCTATTATCTGGTGAACCAGCCAGCAAGCCTGCTGTTTTGTCAAAAGCACAGCTTTTTTTTTTTTTTTTTTTTAGCTCTCCAGCAGAATGTATCAGTTTACATGGATGAGATAAAACACTTAACACTGGCAGAGGTGATTAAAATGAACAGCTTTCACTTATTCATGCAAAAACCTTTATCCCAAAAGGAAAAAAAAACTGCTGTAACTGATTATAAAGTGTGAGCTGGTGTTTGGCTCCAATGTGAGTTAGAGGACCTTAGATTGTGCGCACCTTGAGGGATAGATAATGATGTGAATGTACAATATATATGTAAAGCGCTGCGTAAAGTGACGGCACTATATTATATAATAAATAAATAAATAAAATGTGTTAGTGGTTTTAAATTTGCAAATACTTTAAACACTAACCCCCCCCCCCCCACACACACACACACACCTTCCCCCCAAATGACAATCCTGCTGTCTGCTGTGCCTCCTATACTCAGTCCTCCAGGGTTGAGTCTCCCTAACACTGAAGGAGTATTAATGGCCAGATCACCAAGTGAAAACATAATTGGCACATAATTGTGAAGTGGAAGGAAAATGATAAATGGTTTTTAAAATTGTTTACAAATAAATATCTGAAAAGTGTGGCATGCATTTGTATTCAGTCCCCTTTACTCTAATACCCCTAACAAAAATCTAGCTGAACCAATTGCCTTCAAAAGTCACCTAATTAGTAAATGGAGTTCCCCTGTTTGTAATTTAATCTCAGTATAAATACAGCTGTTATGTGAAGCCCTCAGAGGTTTGTTAGAGAACATTAGTGAAGAAACTGCCTCATGAAGGCCAAGAAACATGCCAGACAGGTCAGGGATAAAGTTGTGGGGAAGTTTAAAGCAGGGTTAATTTATAAAAAAAAATCCCAAGCTTTGAGCATCTCACGGAGCACTGTTCAATCCATCATCTGAAAATGGAAAGCATATGGCACTGCATGAGCATAAGTATGGCATGGTAACTGCAAACCTACCAAGACATGGTCATCCACCTAAACTAACAGGTCGGGCAAGGAGAGCATTCATCAGACAAGCAGCCAAGAGGCTCATGGTAACTCTGGAGTTTCTGCAGAGATCCACAGCTCAGGTGGGAGAATCTGTCCACAGGACAACTGTTAGTCGTGCACTCCACAAATCTGGCCTTTATGGAAAAGTGGAAAGAAAGCAATTGTTGACAAAAAGCCATAAAAAGTCCTGTTTGCAGCTTGTGAGAAGCAATGTGGGGGACACAGCAAACATGGAAGAAGGTGCTCTGGTCAGATGAGACCACAATTTAACTATTTGGCCTAAAAGCAAAAAACGTGTGGTGGAAACAGAACACTGCACATCACCCTGAACACACCATCCTCAACGTGAAACATGGTGGTGGCAGCATCATGTTGTGGGGATGCGTTTCTTCAGCAGAGACAAGGAAGCTGGTCAGAGTTGATGGGAAGATGGATGGAGCCAAATACAGGGCAATCTTAGAAGAAAACCTGTGAAAACTCTGCCCCCAATTACATCACCAATCTTGTCTCCAAATATCACCCAAACCATCCTCTCCTCCCATGACCTCCTGCTCTTTAGCTCCCTTGTCTCCTCCTTCCATGCTTGTCTCCAGGACTTCTCCAGAGCCTCCCACATTCTCTAGATCTCTCTACCCCAATCTGTCTGACTACTGCCTACTCTGCTCACTTTTAGGCGATCTCTGAAAACCTATTTCTTCAGGGAAGCCTATCCTGCCTTCAGCTAATAGACAAATCTTCTGTTTCTTCCATCAGTTCGTTCCCCACAGTTATTTCCTTTTGTACTAGCTCCTCCCTCTTAGATTGTAAGCTCCAAGGATCAGGCCCTCCTATCCCTCTTGTATTGAACTGTATTGTTGCTGTATTGTCTCCCGTTATATTGTAAAGCGCTGAGCAAACTGTTGGCGCTATATAAATGCTGTATAATAATAATAATAATAATAAAAGACTTGAGACCGGGGCGGAGGGTCACCTTTCAGCAGGACAACGACCCGAAACATCCAGCCAGAGCTACAATGGAATGGTTTTGATCAAAGCATATTCATGTGTTAGAATGGCCCAGTCAAAGTTCAGACCTAAATCCAATGGAGAATCTGTGGTAAGACAGTGGCTGTTCACAGATGCTCTCCATCCAATCTGACAGAGCTTGAGCTATTCTGCAAAGAAGAATGGGCAGAAATGTCCCTCTCTAGATATGCAAAGCTGGTAGAGACATCCCCAAAAAGACTTGCAGCTGGAATTGCAGAGAAAGGGGGACCTAAAGTATTGATTCCAGGGGCTGAATACAAATGCCGCCACACTTTTCATATATATTTGTAAAATAATTTGAAAACTATTTATTATTTTCCTTCCACTTCACA